AGGACAGCCCTTCTTCAGAATATCCTGCTTCACAGGAAAGTCTGTCAGATGTGCTAGGCTTGTAGGCTGAAGATGGATGCCCCAACACTGTAGAAGAACCTTGGGTGACCTCAAATGATCTATCAAGAAAAATACTTTACAGGTGTGCCCAGCTGCTTTCGTTTTAGTTGATTCCAGATATAGTTAAGTTGATAGCCAAGATTCAGCATCACAATGGGTAATAAGAAAAATCTCAAAACCCAGCAATGTTAGGTGGAATGATATGTAAGAAAGCCATTACTTAATTTAACTCTACATAATCCAGTCTCTCTACAGCATTCCTGAGACTGTTAGACCAGTCCTATCCATGGATCCTTGACATGGTTTTGTACCATTCAACCAGACTAGGACCAAGGGAAGCAGTAAGGGAAGTAATAGCAAGCATCTCATTCCATTCACATAATCACATAATCTGCATTTTGTCTGCCGCATCTGCTGCTCAAGCTAGCTTCCCACTTTTAGTCTTCATATTCGATAGCTTTTGTGTTTCATCTGCTCTGCAATCTAGCACTTTTTCCCCAATAGCTGTTTACTCTTTTTCTTGACATTTGTGGAAGTTTGTCATGTCTAACTTAGTAGTAGAGCATGCATAAGTTCCATGGTTTTATCCCCAGCACAAAAACAAACAACCATAATAATTACAACTAAAATATAAACACCATCTGGAAAACTGATGAATTTGATAAATTGATATACTAAAAAAACATAAGGCCCTTGTTGTTAAACATTTTATGAATTTGGGAGAAATTAAATTGATTAAACACAACTCTTGCCTAAAAATAGCATTAGGGATGTAAAAAGGCTCAGAGAAAATATAATTTTATGATGGACATAAGAGTAGTGTTATTGTTTAAAAGATTCTCCATTTAGAACCTAGCTTTCAGATTAGGGATTTAGTTTAGGGTTCCTAGGTTTGGTCCTTAACTCTGAGGGAAAACAGGATCCAAGCTTTATTTACAAAAAATGTTGAGGTACACAAAAGTAGTACACCAATATGTCTGTTTGGTAAAATGTGCTAAACTGTGCTATTATCACAGCTACTAAATTGAAGTCAGATAGTACTGTGGTACCCAAAAAGCTAGAGAGTTATGCTGGCACATAAAAGCATATTTTTAAATAAAACCCTGCCAATATGTGTATTATTTACAAAACAGAAAAAACAAGTTAAAGTTGTGCTTGTGTGTGTGTGTGTGTGTGTGTGTGTGTGTGTGTGTGTGCCTGCCTGCGTGTGTGTTACAGTAAAGCTGTTGGATGGTGTCAGGATAGGCTAATAAGCTGGCAAAACACAGTTCTATGGAAGCTAAAAAAACGATGACTGCTTTGAAATTGTTGAGGCTGAGAAGCAAAAGGAGTAGCAAGAACTGTCAGAAGCCAGGCATTGGTGGCACACGCCTTTAATCCCAGCACTCAGGAGGCAGAGGTAGGTGGATCTCTTGTGAGTTCGAAGCCAGCCTGGTCTACAGAGAGAGTGCCGGGATAGGCTCCAAAGTTACACAGAGAAACCTTGTCTCAAAAACCAAAAAAGAAAAAAAAAACTGTCAGAAAACAATTCCACAAGATATCAATCCCAAAGCTAAACTGAAGATGAAAGGGTAAGAGAGGATCTTAGGATCTTAGATATACTCAAGTGACTAGTAAGTAAGTAAATGAATGATACACACACACACACACACACACACACACACACACACACACAGAGAGAGAGAGAGAGAGAGAGAGAGAGAGAGAGAGAGCTTTGTGGGGTATCAAAACATGATTCATGCTTGCCATAATCAAGCTGAAAGATTTTTCCCAGAAATTAAATATATACTTAGAATTTATATTCAAACAAATATAATAAAATTTTATAGCAGATAAAATCATATCTACAATGCTTCCTTTGCTATATTAAGCTAGCTACACTTAGGTAAATGTCATGTGGTCACAACATTTTAAAAAAGTATTTTTTTCTCATGGTAAATGTCAAATGCAAGTTATTTTAAGCAGGATAAAACCAACTTTTTGATATCTGTAGACATCCTTCTCTTTCTGCATGAATTGACAAAGTATGTAATAGCAAGCATCTCATTCCATTCACATAAAGCAGTTATTTCTTTTACTTTTTGTCATTAAAAATAGTATAGAAAATTTTTAATGCTGAGAAAACTCTGAGGTTTTCATTAGATTATTCCTGATTTCTGTACAGTGATATTCTGAAAATTCATAAGAAAATATAATAATTTTACCTAATTAAAATGTAATTTTTAAGAGCTTATGCAGTATCTCTACCACTTAATCACATGATTAATACATGACAGAAAAGATAATCTCCTGGTTTAAAAATAGCTTTATTTAGCATACTAAAAACATGGAAACATAACAAAATTGTATCTAGTATAAACATAAAAAGTTAAATACCATAATTTAATGTAAACCAAGCATTTGCAAATGTGAAGTATTGTAATAAAATACATGCTATTTACATAACACCAAGTTAAAACTACCTCTGTAGTTACTGGATCAGATCATCAGTCTTGAAGAATTTATCATTAGCAATCAACAAATATAACATTTCCATTTTTATTGGTCAATCAGAAAAGATGCCATCATTTTATTTATTTAAAACATATATAATTTACTGTGGCATTTAGAGCAGGGAAGCAAAAATTGCCAGTTCAAGGATCCCAGACACAAGCACTACAGGTTGAGGTTTGAAAATCATTCTACTGGAGAAACCATGAGCAGATCCTTTTATTTAAATATAAACCATTTAATTCCATTTACTTACTGATTAGAAAGTTATTAAGCATATTCTGCAAAAATAAATCTTCATTAAAAATGATCAAAGACAAATGCAGTATCAATCAGGTAGGAAAGGCAAAGCATAAAAATATATATTATTCCAGATAGGCCCCTTAATTATAATAAATGTTAACAAACTCAGTTTATAAAACCAGAAGGGTTAGCAAAGGGGATTTTAAAAGGATGAGACCTGAACTGTACTCAAACATAACACAAAATATGTAAAACAAAATATCATGAAAGTATTTTGATTAATCTCTCATCATGGAAAAACTGCCATGAAATTTATGGTTAGTACAGCTATTATTTACTATGAAGTAGTGTTTTCTCTGACCAACAATCTAAACAGCTGTCAATAAGTTGACCAGTAGACCAATTTAAACATTTGGCTTTTGTTTCAAGAATCATCACTCATTCTTATACTTCAATGAAGGAAGCATAAAATCCAATATTTAGATTTCAAAATGTAAAATAATGTTACAAGAACAAAAACCTAACTTAGTGTCAGGATGTCCTGTTTTTTGTCTAATCCTGTAGTTCTTAAATTTTTGGTTTCTGGATCCTCCTTTACATTCTTAGGGAAACCTAGATTCCAAAGAACTTTTGTATTTTGAGATTTATGTCTATCAATATTTACCATGCTAGAAATGAACTGAAAAAAAATAAAGCACTAGCTCACCTAAAAATTAAAATAATATATGCTAATACAAATGAACATATTTTTATGAAAAATAGCTATATTTTCTTTTTAAAAAAAAGATGTGTGGGAAGACTGCACTGTTTTCCATTGTTCAACTCTGTTGTGAGAGAATTAGAAGAGATAAATAATGTCTTCAGATAAGATAAAAATATTTTGATTTCACAGATGCCCTAGAAAGCTGCCAAGGAACTCTCAGGGTCTGTGGGTCACAATTTGAAAACTACGGGTCTCATCTAAAGCCTAATATTAAACACACACACACACACACACACACACACACACACACACACACACTGTCCCTACAAAATAGCCTTAATTTTCAGTTCTAAACAATCCATAACCCCTCTTGCATGCTGAATCAAACATCTGCAACTTCAGATATAATGAGAAAGTAAAGATCATATAGTCAGAAAAAATTCCAATCAATATTGTTGTGCTGAGACCATTACCAAGATACGGTGTTTCTTCATCTATCAGACCAATTAACTAGTTCGTGTACTTAGTGTAATTTCCAGCATTTCATCTTACACTGCACTGGCAAATGTACTTCAATTGGTACAGCTTTTGTACAGTCCAAATTATGTCAGAAGGTAAGTAATACCCTGTAGATTTAGATTAGGAAATAGTAGCTATTTATGGAGCACACTGCTCGCTCTATTACTCACTATGTGAATGTTCTGATCAATTCTAGGGGAACAGGGAGAAATGTTCCCCTGGAGCATAATAATAATACTGGGGTCTTACACTTTAATAGTTCTTCACAATGCACAAATGTCTTGTAAATACACCATCCCATTTGACCTTTTTTATTCTTCTGAAATAGATTATTTTGGCAGTTCATTCCCAACCTGCTCCTTCTAATCCAAGAGAAAGAAGTAAAACTACTACAGCTAAAAAAAACCTCAATATAATATAAAACAAAACAGCAACAATAATGAGATCTACATGGGACTAAACTAGACTTAGTGTGCATCTACTATAGCAGATATTATGTAATCATCTTCCATCAACACAGAAGTCAGAAGTCATAATTGAATGGAAAACTGTATACTAATAATTTTGAGAGTAAGATTTCAGCCTGTAGAAAACATTAGGAAAATAATTCAAAAATTGGTTTTAGATAAACTCTTGAGTACATTAAGAGTCTATGGTAGCAATGTGAAAATTAAAATTAGTGTAAAAGAAAAAAAATTGTTGCCCACCACACAATGAGCAAAGGAGTAGCCATTATCTACTCCCTGTCATGAACACATTCTTTATTCCATTACCTAGAAATTCTTACAAACAGGATAGTAACATGAGTGGCATGACACATTCAAAGATGCTAGAAAATTTGAATGGGACAATGTGTGGTAATCAGCCAAGAAGAAAAACCCTAGTACAAAATGAGCTAAATGCCACTAATGATCAATGATTTCCTTGCTATATACTACAATCTCTGTCTGTCTCTCCATGTCTCTCAAGTTCTCTAAACTTGTTGACGATCACATAACTGTTGGTGTCCCCCTACCTTTTCAATTTGGGTGAGTATTGCTGTCTTTATGGGTGGTGTGGCAGAAGTTAGTTAATTTTACAAGAGTTATACACATACTGGGTGATGCACATATGGATATATATGTATATGCGTGCGTATACACACACAAAACACACACATATTTGTAAAGGCATGTGAATGGTATCACAGCACATAAAGACCTTCACTAGCATGTCTTTCCTTCATGTTCCCTCTTATAAAAATGAACATGGATAATGCTTTTATAATAAGAAAGAAAACTAAAGATAAATCACCCAGTAAATGTGAAGTGGTATGCTGTAAGAGTCTAATAAAATAAGTCACTGCACATTTTTGTAGTGGTAAAGTGCTACAATGTTCTTCCGTTAGTATTTTAGAAATGATTAGAGTCAAACTAGGTTTGCAGCTTCATTTGATGGTGGTGACCACAGGCACCATAGCAATGGCACTAGCTGAGCTAGAGTTGACTATGTCCTCATATTCTGGTGGTGGGTCTAAATGAGGTTCTGTTTCGCTCCTTCTCAAGTTCACCTGGCCAGTGGCTTCCTCATAGGTCGGTGGGGGATCACAGTTGGAAAGGCGAGTGGAGACAGAATCTGAGCGCCCAACAACGTATTCCAAAAAGCCTGGAGACAATCCACTGTTATCAAAGACTTCATCTGGTGGAGGAGGTGGAGTAATAATGTTAAGGCGTTGAGGGAAAGGAATGTGGCTATCAGTTACTGTCTGTCTCCGAGTTTTGTTTCTTAGAAAGCATCTCCAGATTAAGAAGATGACAAGGAGAATAATGAAGAGGCCAAAGATTAATGGAAAAGTAAGATAAAATTGAAACCAGTCACTTCCTCTATTGGTCTCTCCTTGTTGTGCGTTTGTGTAGGTGCTCCAGAACTCTTTCTGAAAAATAAAATAAATAGTAAAAAAAAAATCAGTATGCTCAAAACACGAAGTGTGAACAACACCTATGTTCTGATATTGACAAAAACCCAGAATCAGATGTATTTGTTCAAGTGACACAGCCTTGTTTTCTATACCAGCAAAAAACAAATACAGAAGCCCCTCATTAGAATGGAGTTATTCCCAAAGAAACTCATTATCAATTGAAAACATCATTAATTTGCTGAATTTAATAATCTTAATGATCAAGCATCATAGCTTATAGGTAAATAGACTGAAGTTTCAGGTTTCTTCTGGTTGTACAAGCTGACAGGTTATGAAGAGCTTTAGCTCTTTGAGCTGATCACCATCTGTAAAGAGTGATTTAAAGAGTGATTTACTGACAAGGAAAAGCTCACCATTCAAAAATTGAAATACAGTGTCTACTGAATGCATGCCACTTCCACACCACTGCAACATTGAGAAATTTTAAGTGGAACCATCATTGGTTAGGGATTATCTATATATAGATCACCATATTCATTCTGGGTGCTACCTATAATGGTCCTAACTCAACGCTCTATAATACTTAAAGTTATTTAATTTTTAGCTGTAGCGTTTTAAAAATGTGAGAGTTATACAATTGGAAGAGAATCAGAGTATAGCTGTGGTCTTTTAGAGTGAAAATTAAAGGAGCAGGGAGATGGCTCAGTAGATGAAAGTGCTTGTTGTGCAAGCTTAAGAAACTGAGTTCTATCTCTAGTAAACCTGCACACAAGGAACATGTACACAGACATACACATATACAAAGTAAAAGACAATTAAGAACTGAATTTTTCTCTTTTTCAGAGTATAACAAATCATCTACCTCACAAATATAAGGCAAGGGCTCGGGATGTTTTAGAGTACTTGTAGTATACATATGCATATAAATGTAAGCACATATACACATGTGCTTATGAACTGTCAGTCTCCATATCCAAATCTGAGATTCTCTTTATACAAGTCCCATCATGGTTAATAATATGTGCTAGTTAAGGCCAGTGAATGCTTTTAGTACCAAAATATTCAGCAGACTAGCACCTTGTTTCCTAATGGTTTTGTTTAGGATACCCAACAGACGTTCCTCCTCCCCTTCCACCTTACCAAATGCAATGCTTTTACATAGATGTTAAATGTGAAAAAATATATTTTGTTCCCACAGAAGGCATCAGGGTAGTCTTGCTATTGTGTCACTTTATTCTGGAACCTAGACATTAAATTACAAATGAAAAATATCTAGTATGTGAAGCATTTAATGTTTGTTGGGATATATTAGACCATAACAAAGGAAACTTAGTGCAATTATAAGCGATCATAGTTCTTCTTGAGCTTTAATTTCTTCATGTGTAAAGTGGGGCAATACAAGTTGCTTAAACATTAAATGAGATAGCACATCACATCTAGTTGAGTTTCTGGAATATAAACTATCAATGTCATGATTATAATTGATTTTTATGTCTACTTGAGTTTTTGGTTCATTCTATCACTTGATACAGGGACCACTTTTTAATGTCATTGACTTTCTTGTCCTTATTTTCATTAGTCACTTTTG